AATTATACATTATATTATACAGATATTACTATTTTTCAAAATTAAAGAATTAATTAAATATATTTTAGTATACTTAAGGAATTATTACTTTGCTAAAATTAAGGAATTAATTGTATTAAAGCTAATAATGGTCAGACACGGGAAACAAACACATCATATATTAAATAACCAAAATAGCAGAAAGCCGAGAAATAGAGTCAAAGTGCTCAAACCCCCCCCCCCCCCCCCCCCCCCACCCCCCCGTTACATAAAGCCCGCTTAGCTAAATAGTCTTCAAGCACATTGGCACTACGCTTAACATAATTAAAACAAACATTAGGTAAATCACGCAACTGTGTACGAGTATCACGAATAATACCACTAAAAGGTGTTAGATTTAACTCCGAGTGGATAGCATTCACCACGACCTGAGCATCGGTCTCAAGAACCACTTGATGCCACCCCTTCTGTTTTATCTAGCTTAAAGCCTCCCGGGCCCCAATAGCTTCTGCCTCACGAACCGAGAAGAGTCCCGACATAGTGAACATCATGAGACCCACCACCCTCCCTTCCTCGTCACGAACACTCCATCCAAACCTCATTAGCTGCTCATTCCGATCCATAGCCATGCCAATATTCATTTTGAACCAATTCATCGGGGGTGGCTCCCATTTAATTAGCTAAGGAAGCTACTGGAGCAGGTAGATATGCTGTCTGATCTTCTTTCTCACGGATGGCTCTCCAACTTTGGACATAATCTAAGTCATGCTTCACCACCAGAGTTGGATTTTGACTTTGATTCTTCCAAACCATTTGGTTCCTGTTATCCCATATAGCCCAGCAAGTGAGGACCACCTTTTCAAGCACAACGTGTGGTAGAGCAGCCCATAAACCATCTAGCCAAGTCTCAATACAAGTTTCATGATTGAAGCTCCAATTTTCATTCAAAGCATACCAATAGGAGTGAGCGAAATGACAATTTGCAAATAAATGAATAGTCGTTTCATTTGCCCTTCCACATAAGAGACAAATTGGATCACAACCAACCTGTTTCATAAGCAAAGCATCCTTAGTAGGAAGACGCAAGGTACACAAATTCCAGAAAAAACATTTCACTTTCGGCGGAATATTCTTTTTCCACATGTTAGCCCAGCCAACCTCCCTCGCCTGAACCTCACCACCCGCTACCACCCTATACCCGCTCTTCACCGCGTACAACCCCCTCTCCTCTCCATTCCAAAAAATAGAATCAGCACCCCCCAAACTTGGTATAGACACACTCTCAATAAGCTCACAATCCCTTTGGCAGAAAAGGCCTCTCAAAAGATCAGTATCCCAAGTATTCGAGTCTGGGCAAAAGAGGCTACATACAGGAGGATTATTCAAATAAGATAACTCCGGTGTAGAGATATATGGATTATTTTCAATTGGGAGCCAATGATCCCCCTACACCCTCACCATTTTCCCATCCCCTATCCGCCACCGCACCCCTTGACTTAAAAAAACTATGGGCTTCCCTCGTACTAGTCCAAATGAAAGAAGGGTTTGAACCTTTTCCCGCTTCTAAGAAAGAGCAATTTGGAAAGTATCTAGTCTTAAACACTTTTGTGACCAAAGCATCAGGATTTGTCATAAAATTCCAACCCTGCTTACCCAACATTACCACGTCCATTTCCCTAACCTTTCTAAAACCCATACCTCCATACTTCTTTGGTTTACACATAGCACCCCACATGCTCCACCTTATACCCCTTCCTTCCCTCTTCTCACACCCCCACCAGAAAGAGTTCATAAGACGCTTTAGCTCCTCACACAAGCCTTTCAGCAATAAAAATACGTTCATTGCGTAGTTTGGAATACTTTGCAGGATGGTTTTCAACAAGATCTCACCCCCCCCCCCCCCCCCGAGATAAGAAACGACTACCCCAGCTCATGATTTGGGCACGTAACCTATCCCGTACAAACCCCAAAATCTCTCTCTTCCTCCTTTCCGCATACACCGGTAGACCCAAATACTTTCCCCTTCCTTGTTACTCATGAACCGACAAGAGTTCACAAACAACCTCCTTATCCTCTCGATGAACATTTCTCCCAAACACAATAGAAGTTTTCTTAAAATTTACAAGTTGTCCACTCGCCTCCCCATACGCCCTTTGAACATCCTTAATGACTTCAGCCTCGAAAGAGTTAGCTTTGAAAAAGAAAAGGCAGTCATCCGCAAAAAACAAATGGGATACAACCGGAGCACTCCTAGCTACCCTCACATCGTGAATGAAACCCTGCCTCTCACGCACCCATAACATAACACTAAGACACTCAGTGACCATAATAAACAAGCACGGAGACAAAGGATCCCCCTAAGACACTCAATGACCATAATAAACAAGCACGGAGACAAAGGATCCCATAACACAAACCCCTTTCAGGAACGACCGGGCCCCACTCCTTCCCTTCCACTAAAATTTTGTATTTAAACCTAGCTACCCATCGAGCATCAAAGCCCATTTTCAACAAAACCCGACTAAGAAAACTCCACTCAACCCGGTCATACGCTTTACTCATATCTACTTTCAATGCCCCATACCCTCCCCTACACCCTTGGTGCCTATTTAGAGTATGGGCAGTCTCAAAAGCAATAAGAATATTATCAACAATAGACCTACCTACCTGGGACAAAAGCACTCTGAGCACAAGAGATAAGAGTCCCCAACACCCCCTCAACCTATTGGCCAACACTTTAGCCAAAATTCGGTAAACAACATTACATAATGAAATAAAGCGGAAATCAGACATAGACTCGGGGGATTTATGCTTCGGGATTAATACAATATGGTATCATTTACATTTGCAGGCAATCTACCAGTAGAGAGGAAAGTTTGACAGAAATAAACTACCTCATCGCCCAGGATATCCCAGTGCATCTGGAAAATGGCCGGAGAAAGTCCATCGGGCCTGGTGATTTATTAGGGTGCATCCCCAACACAGCCGCCTTCACCTCCATCATTGACACCTCCCGGGGAAGTTCGGCGTTCTACTCAGCAGTGATGCTAGGCTCCACGCAATCCAAAACTGGGCGGATCTCCCCGGCGGCGGACGAAAATAATTGGGAAAAATATTGAACCATCACTGCCCCCATTTGGTTTTCATTGGTCACTCTGTCACCCCGATCATTCCGCAAGAAATGGATTTTGTTTCGTCGACGCCTCCGATTTATAGAATTATGGAAGTAACGTGAATTGAAATCTCCTCATGTGTACCACAATTCCTTGGCTCGCTGCTTCAGTCTATCACTTTTGAGTTTTCAACAGAGAAAAATAATTCCCCTGATAGTAATTGTAATTCCATAATGAGTACTACTACATAGACTACCAAATTGTACTCCCTCATTTGTACTCCCTGAGGTGGCAAACCATGATTATTTTCAACCTGTGGGTCCACAGAAAAATGTCTACGTCAAAAACATGTGAGAGGAAGTACAAAATTGGAAGTATAAAATGAGAGTACACCAAGTATTTTCCTTCCATAATACATGAAAATAAAGTTGGGAGTATGAGGACCAAATTGTCCTCCCTAATAATCCTAAATATTTACCTTGATTGCAACCACACATACATTTTTATCTTTGTACTACTTATTCCTATTTATATCAAACACTATAATTAAAATTCTCAATAATTCTATACCTACCTACCAAACAATAAAATTTGAATTGCAACCTTATTTATTTTCTAAACATTACAATTCATTTTACCCTAATTCACTCCTTGGAATCAAATCCTTCTGTCATGTTTGCAAGGTATATATGCTATAATAGATACTTCGACTTTGATAAAGTAGACATAAGTTCTGCCTCATAAGAAGCAAAACATTGCTTGAAAAAGTAAACATATTATTGTTTTCTTGTTTGGGAATAGGAAAATTGTGCAATGAAAATTCTAAAAGCATTCCCAACAACTATGGATTTTTATCAAGTTTTTTTTTTTTTTTGGCCATATACGAGGAAGGAGATGGAAAAAAGGAGAGAAAAAAAAAAAGAAAAAAAAAAAACATGAACAAAATTTTTTTAAAAAATAAATAAAATAAAATAACTTTTACATGCATTTTTTTTTATGGGAAAATGGCACTTTTTCCCCCTGAGTTATATACCTATAGCATTTTTTCCCCCTAAGTTATTGAAGTGGCTGTTTTTCCCCCTGAAATGTTAAATGGACATATTTACCCTTAAACTAAATATTTAATTTATTTTTTTCTCCAACAAATTATGACCATAATTTGGTTCAAACACTATAGCAACCAAACCGAAATATTCCAATTACAATGTAGAATCGAAATTCGATATTTAGAGTTTATTAAAATCATGAACCGGAACTGACGGTTCATGTTACGAAAAAAAATAAAATACATTTATTGTTGAATTTAGACTATTTTAAAATAAAAAATAAAATTTTAAAATAAAGACGGTTCAAAGCCGCGAATCAGATCCGGAACCGCCGGTTCACGGTTCAAGATTCAATTACTTTGATACATAATTTTAATAAATTGACATTTAAATATTGGGTTCTAGATCTGAATTATAACCGTAAACTATTAATTCGATTGCTTTAGTATCCGGTTCAATTCAAATCGAACCGTGGTCATCCCTACGTATACGCAATAATTTGTGGGAGTAGTAAAATAAATAAAATGTTTACTTTAAGGGTATAAATGTCAATTTAATATATCAGGGGGAAAAAGAACCACTTTTATAATAATTGAGGGGGCTAATGTACTTACCTAAATAATTGAGGGGGAAAAAGTGCTATAAGTATATAACTCAGGGGTAAAAAGTGTCATTTTCCCTTTTTTTATTTACTACAAAAGAAAAATGTTCTATTTCCTCTCTTTCTTTCCCCCCCTCCCCAACTCAGCATCCCTCTCTCACGTCTTTATCATGCCTTTATCAACAATAATTTACATGTGATTGTAATTTGAAGAAAAAAACAAACAAAACAGATATATTCTTAATATTCATTGCTGTTCCTTAAATACTAAAGAAAAACAAGGCACTGAGATTACTCTTTGTTTTGGGAGCTAAAGAAGATGGAAAGCAGAGTTGAAGAAGAGAAGAAGCAAGAAATTCCTTTGATTACGCCTTATCAAATGGGAATTTTCCAACTCTCTCACAGGTTTTACTTGCTGTTCTACCACTGTTAAATTACTCTCCTCTTAGTTCACACTGCTATATTTATACTTTTTTTTTCTCAGTTTTAATTTAGACATGTTTGATCTGTTGCGATGTAGTCCATATATATATGTTGTATGATTGTTAGGAAAAAAAAAACATTAATTTGAACTAACGGAGACGGAATAGAAAATTGTCAAAACTAGGTATTCAAATTTAGGGGTGTTTGTTAAATAGTTTTTAACTGATTGAGTTAGTGAGTTTGACTAATTGATAGTATTAACTATTGTAGAAAAACGTTTTGTAAATTAACATAATTGATTATACGCAAAATGACTTTTTCAAAAAATTGATTAAAAAAGTTACTTTAAACAGCTTTTTAAATTTTTGTGTTTTATAACAGTAAGTTGTTATAAAATACTAATTAATCAAACACTTGTATTAATTATTTAACCAAGTCAAACAATTAATAATTGTCTAATAGATTAAAATTAACTAATAAACTAATTATGCAAGTGAATGTTGAGATATGTGATGCGATAAATGCAGAGTGGTTTTGGCACCCTTGACAAGGCAGAGATCATTCGGAGGCATTCCGCAACCGCATGCCGCCGTGCAGTATGCCCAGAGAGCCTCTAATGGTGGGCTTCTTATAGCCGAAGCCACGTGGATTTCTGAAACTGCCACTGGGTAAATTTCACATATATATTTGTTAAACATTTTCATTTCTGTGATAAATGAGAAACCACAGTCATTAGAGGGTATGTATTGTCCGGTTTTGTAATTCTAACTGGCAAAAAGTCACAATAAAGTATATGAATTTAGGTTGTCCATAGGTGACGGGAGAGAGTGGAACTTGTAATTAGTTGTAACTTTGTGGTTAATTACCAAGTCAACTGTCTGATTAACTTTGCTGGGATGACCAACATTTTTTTGAATGACGAGATAAACCCACAACTATTACCTCGAAGGTGCGCACTGGGTAAACCAAGAAAGCCAATAAGCCGTTGCAATGTAGATTTCTGAAACTGCCACAGGGTAAATTCACATAAAATATTTGTTAAGCCAACCAACATTTTTTTGAGTGACAAAGAATTGAATCTTGTCTGAGGGTGTGCACTGGGGTAAACTCCTCCTTGTGACTTTAGCTAGCAAAGAACTACAAGGAAATAAATCAATTTAGGTTGTCGATAGTTGATTGACGTAGACCAAGAAGGTCAATTGGCCGCTTGGTTGGGAAATCCAACTAATAACTTTATGATTACCCAAACCAACTTGACTGGGGTGGCTCACAGCCAACCAACATTTGTGCATATATAGTTTGGGGATAATAATGTTACGCTTTGTGAAATGGTATATATATATATATATATATATATATATATATATATATATATATATATATATATATTAGAATATAGTTTCTACTTACATTTTAAGTTTTTTTTTTCCTTGAATTGAAGCTATCCCAACACTCCTGGTATTTCCACAAAGGAGCAAATAGAAGCCTGGAAACCAATCGTAGATGCAGTTCATGCCAAAGGTGCTGTGTTCTTCTGCCAGATTTGGCATTGTGGCAGAGTTTCACATTATGGTTAGTTATTTGTTGATATCCATAATGTTTTGACTTTCGATTTAGCTGAGAGAGTCTCGCATTGAAAAATTAGATAGGAAGAAATGTGTTTATAAAGTATTATGATTCGATTTTTAGATTTTCAGCCAAACGGGCAACCTCCAATCTCTAGTACGGGCAAGGTATTAGCCCCTCAAATCGAAATCAATGGCGTAGATGTTGCACATTTTTCACCCCCAAGACCGCTAAGAACAGATGAAATTCCTGGCGTTTTGAACCATTTTCGGCTGGCTGCAAGAAATGCAATTGAAGCTGGTGAGCCAATTCTAGAACTTCACAAAATGTGTTGAGATTAAAAAGAACAAGCAATATATAGTAATAATAATAACCTATGTTTGTTTTTGGTCATAAGTCAACCTATGTTTGTTGACTGCTGTTGTGTTTGGTAGGCTTTGATGGAGTTGAGATCCATGGAGCCCATGGCTATCTAATAGATCAGTTTCTCAAAGACCAAGTTAATGACAGAAGAGATGAATATGGAGGCTCCTTGGAGAAGCGCTGCAGGTTCGCTTTAGAAGTAGTGGAAGTAGTTGCCAGTGAGATTGGAGCGGGTAGAGTCGGGATAAGGCTCTCCCCCTTTGCAAACTTCAATGAATCGGCTGACTCCAATCCCGACGCTTTGGGCCTTTACATGGCCAAAGCATTGAACAAGTACAACATTTTGTACTGCCATGTGGTCGAGCCAAGGATGACCAAAGTAGGCGAGAAGGCCGAGTGCCACGAGAGCCTGTGGCCGATGAGGAAAGCGTTCAAGGGCACGTTCATGGTTGCAGGGGGATACGAAAGGGAGGACGGGAACCAAGCCGTGGCTGAAAACCGGGCTGATTTGGTAGCCTATGGGCGTTTGTTCTTGGCTAATCTAGATTTGCCAAAGAGGTTTGAGCTTGATGCTCCTCTTAATAAGTGCAATAGGGCAACTTACTATACGCCTCATCCAGTTATTGGCTACACTGACTATCCATTTCTTGAAACAACTAGTATGTGATCTTTAGAAGAATTTATGGTTTTGTAATTTTTTTTTGGTTATCTGATGACTTGGGATGAGAATGATAGAGACTTAATCCCGAATTCATTATTTTTTATAATAGATAACTTATCATTAAATTATATTATAAATTTCATACTAGTATTAGTGGTAATATATTGGTATAGGTATTGTGATTTCCTATGAAAGTGCTTTTAATTCTGGTTTAATACTTTCCCATCAAATAAATTTAATTTCTTGTATATTGTAATAGAGTCAGTAGTATTAAAAAAAAAATTAATTTCTTAAAAAATATTTCTAAGGATATATTTAATGGAAATAATTTTGAAGGGACAATTAATTAATTTGGTTCTACCGGAGAGACATAAAATTAAATTACTTGGGAAATTAATTAAAGTGTTTGGTTTGTTTAAACTTTTTTAGATTTTTTAAAATTCTAATATATCCTTATTATATACACAAGCATTAAAAAAAAACAAATAATTGAGAGTTTATAAATCACTTGTAAATTAATTAATCATATGCCAAAAAGGACTAATATGTAACAGGATTATTCAAAATACAAAATAATACATATGTAAAAATAATTAAAATCAAGTTTAAAAACAACTCATAAAAGAATATATATATGTGTGGACCAGTGTTGAAAAAGACGCTAAACGCCAGGAGCTCGATTTTATTTTAGTTTTTTAATTTTGTTTATTATTTTGTATTTTTTTTTGTCATGTGAAGCAGACCAATTCATAAGGAGAAAGCAATTGAAAACCAATTCGTAAGGAGAAAGCGACAGAAGCAGCAGTGCCTGCAAACACAGCCTGCATGTATCTCTCCGGCAGTTCCAATTACAGTGCCATGAACCATCCCGTCGGCGACTCCACACACAAATAGAATCATAAACAGAAAAGTTCATAATATGTTGGCTGGATACGAGATTTGCGTAAATCAATATTTGGACCCCAGAAAAGGAAAACCGACGCAAAGGAGTCCGAGTTTGTGATGAAATAAAATCGATTCTCTAGAGTCCGACTTTTTTTTTTTTTTTATTGTTTTTTAAATAGATTCGGACCCTTTTGGTTCGAATGTATTGAAAAAATTTATTAAGTTTTTTTATTTTTATTTTTTTAAGGAATGCAACGAATGTATTCATAATATTTTTTTGTCGAAGAAGGTTCATGCTCAGTACGTGTCTATACTTGATATTATAAATTGAATTTAGATGAAAAATTGGATAATTAAAAATATTAAAAAAACATTATTTTATTGATGATTCAAAGTAGGACAGTTGGGGGAAGAATGAGTTGTCCTCCGACAATACCTACATCTTCTACTTCGATTTGAACCGAAGTCCATTTCATTTGGATACCTACGCGTGCGGCGCTGTCCTCGTTGATTTGGTTGCCTAGCAGAAATTGGTGGAAGGCAAGTAACTGGACCGGTACACTGAATTCTTTCGTCTACGGGGTAAAAATTACCGGCATAACAGTTCCTGTAATTTTCAACCGAGTAAACATTTGGCACTAATGGGCCGAATCCTTGCCCTCGGTAATTGCATGCTGCAATCACATGTGCACAGGGTAAGCCGTTGACGTTCCACAAGCCGCAGTTACACGTACGTTCCGTTAGATTCACTTGAAAGTGATATTGTTGACTTTGGGAAACGTAACCAGTATTTAGGGCAACACCATAGATTCCCAGGGTGTCATTGTAACGTTGAACGCTACCACCGCTTGCCTCATTGTTTCGAGCTGACAAATCATCGGTAATGTTAGTCGTGAATCGCAGGCCGTGTTGCTGCATCCCCTCTCCCGCAGTACGCCTGTCGGCAAACATAGTCCGTAACTTGTGAAAAGTCATTCGGACTATTGCCGTGACGGGTAACATCCGACAACACTTTAGTGAATTATTTAGTGACTCAGACGGATTGGTCGTCATGATACCGTACCGGTGACCATCGTCATGAGATAATGTCCACTTATCGACATCAATGTCGGCAAGATAGGCGTATGCAGCGGGCCATTTGATTTGGATTGCGTGCATGTGTTGAAGGAATTGATCCCTTGTCACAGCAGTACCAGCTTCCCACACAAGTTTGCGTAACCGCCTATTTCTGGTCACCCTTGACATGACATTGCTGCGAATGTGTCTTAGGCAAAACCGGCGTTTGACACGGCCCCCCTTCAATTGTTCGACGGAATTAAACGCCGCATCGATTCCAGCGTGTCTATCCGAGACGATGCACATGGAATTGTGATGTGGAAAGACATTTTCAGCCAGAAGTCGAAGAAACCAAGTCCAACTGGCATTATTTTCGGAGTCCACGATCGAATATGCCAGTGGATAGATTTCCTTGTTGGCGGTATATCCGCAGGCTAGGAGGAGATGGCCTTTGTACCGGTTGTACAAGTGGGTACCGTCAACACAAATAACCGGGATGCAGTAGCGGAAACCATCTATTGCGGGCTTGAACGCCCAAAATGCGTACAAGAAATTTGCGTACCCTGTACCCCTTTCTGCGTTATGTGTGGTCATGATTTCCACAATGGTACCTGGGTTGGACAGTTGCAACTGCCGGCAGAATTGTGGTAGTTCATTGTATGACTGCTGGTAATTCTCGTACTGCATTTCAATGCATTTGTGTCTGGCATACCAAGCTTTCCAGTACGAAATGTCGACACCAAATCGTTGTCTCACATCCACTTGGATGTGTTTTATTTTGTACTGTGGATCCGCAGTGATCTTTGGAAAGATCAGATCACATATTAATGAGCTGGTGCACAGTTTGTCCGCCGGCCGCTGGTTGAATTGAACAGTGCACTCGTGGGGCTGAGTGTATTTCGTGACCTGCCATTCAGTAGACGCCCCATGCAACTTCTTTGCGGATAATGTCCACGGGCAAGATGGTGTTGAGATATAATGTGTACAGGAGACCTTCCAATTTGCCCTTTTTTGTGGTTGGTGATGTAGTCCCGCCCGTGCAGCATATTGTATGTTCCTACTGCTTTTTTTAGGGTCGGAAAATCCGGGAATACCATTCCTTTTGCAATAACATTTGTGGAGGGGTTGTATGATAGGGTTTCATCATCGTCCCTCTCCGTAAAGCCGTATGCGAATGCAGTTGTTGTAGGTGGTATCGGTGAGTGGTAAGACGGGACCGCAGAATCTGGCAATCGATAACCCCGACCTCGATTCATTTGAGTATTTACATTCATTGAATCGAAGTCGTATGGAACTGACTCCTGTATGTCTTCGTCGTCTGTACTTCCTGAACCCTCGGACGGTATGGACTCATCAGGTTGATACGTGGCATCAGTTTCTGATGAACTTTCCACCATTGTTGACTCTGATGGAAGTTCCTCTGGTGGATCGACATCGTTAACTCCGAATCCGCCACCATAAATATCTTCTGTTTGAACGTACACATGTAACTCTCTGTTTGACATTGTTTGTCGTATGAAGTATTCCCAGTCTCTTTCTCGCGCAATGTGTAGTAGATAGTGTGTGCTTCCCATTGTAGCATCCACTATCACTCTTCCAATCAGCTCAACATTGTCCTCAATGTTGATTCCCATTGCTTGTCTGATCATTAACTCCATAGGAATGAGTCCAATATTAGATGGTATTGGAATAACTACTCGAGGCTGGAGTGAATAATTTATCTGTGGCGGTGCCCCACTGGTTTGTATTTCCCCACCCCAAAAAACGAAAACATATGTAGATATAGTTGCCATTTTAAAAAAATTGCAGTTTGAGAAAATTCAATTTGGGTCTTTGTAAATATGAGATTCGCAAAACAATTCATAATACTTACAAATTAGCCATTCCTGTATCAAAACAATTCATAATACTTACAAATTAAGAACATTTTATAACAACTTCGAACAACAAGTTACGCAATTAACAACACGGCAGTACATAAATAAATAATTTCGTTAAATACTATCAAAATAAATAATAACATAAATAAATAATTTCGTTAAATACTAACAAAATAAATAATAACATTATTTAACTGAAAGGCAAAACTCGGAGCACTTTGGTCCGAATTTTTTTTAAATCGGACCAAAATGCTCCGAATTTTTAAAAATTTGTGACCATAATGGTCCGAGGTTTACAATTCTAAATAAGCTCGGATTTTTATTTTTTTTTGCCTTCAAGGGACGCTGTAATATAAACCTTTTTTTACCAACTACTTTATTAAATGGGACGCTGTAATATAAAACTTTATTAAATGGGACGCTGTAATATAAACTTTTTTTTTTACCTCAAATATAATACTTTTTTTTTCTCACATAACATTCAGTTCAGTTTGTACCAATATTCATTGATGAAGTACATAAATTAAATATTTTTTGAGATTTTACCTACACTTACATTTTCATTTTACATATTTCTATGACATTGAAGATATATACTTATACACTCCTAATTTTTTTAATTTTTTTTATTTTGGTTCGGACTTCATCACTCCGGAGAAATTATAATACTATACTCAATATACTACTTAAAATGGAGGCAAATCAAAAAAATAAATTCTGACTTAACAAATACAAAAATAATAACTGCATTTAAACATAAAAAATAATTTATAAACGGTATTTAAAATATATATATTTCCCATTCAGTAAATTTCCGATTTTTCTAAAACAATATAATTATAAACGGGGATATAATCTACAATAAAACAGCATAACAAAATAATAAATAATGCGGTGTATAAAATATGAACCGACTAAAATAATATTCCTCAATATAATTTTTTTTTTACCTCAAATATAAACCTTTTTTTTTTCCTACGCAGTGTAAAACAACTCAAATATAATTTTTTTTTTTTTACCTCAATATTGCAAACTGTAGATGTTTGGGAAGATGTTTGAGAAGATATTTGGGAAGATGCAGTGCTGATCCAATCTAAATGCTTGAGAAGTGGCTTGGGAAGAACCTTTGAATAACACAAATATGTTGAGAGAGAACAACTTTGTGAAATGGCTATGAATCCCAATCAGTAGAACAAACAAATATGTGGAGAGAGAACAGCTTTGTATGGCTATGAATCCGAATCAGTAGAACAAATGCAATTGTGGAGCATTCTACATTTTATACTCATACATCCGAAATAAGCATGCATGCATTGTAACATCATGGGGGAAAAGTCCAAT